TGTTGTTGTTGTTGTTGTTGTTGTTGTTGTTGTTGTTGTTGTTGTTGTTGTTGTTGTTGTTGTTGTTGTTGTTGTTGCTGTTGTCGTCAAACACAACTACAGATTGTAATTCTTCCGGTTCATTATCCATTTCTTCATCCAAAACTGGTTCTAATCGAATTTCACCAATCAATTCATCAATTAAATCAGGATCTTCTATCTCCATATATTCACCAACCAAAGATGCAAGGTTTACATCTTTTTTCTCAAGTTCTTCATAAGTACCCTCTTCAAAGCATTCACCATCCCTCATAACCATGATTCGATCACACTCGGGGAGATACTATGTATATAAAAATATATAGCATACCAAAAATTAAAAATATACATAAATAACTAAATAAATCTACAATAAACAAAACTTTTAAAATACCGGTAGTTGATTTGTTACAAAGATAATGGCTTTGTCCTATTAATAAATTATGATTTTCTCTTATTAATACATATACGTAAATATATATGTGTTTATTATAATTGAATCAATAATTTACCTTGAGGTATTTACGAATACATTCATGGAATATATGTTTGCCAACAACAGGGTCCATCATACTTTTAATTTATTAATATTATTACATTTTCACTATATATAATTAAATAATGAAATTTGATTAACAAAGACTCACAAACCTTAAAGGATCATCTAATAAAACTATATCAGCATTACTGTAAACAGCTCTTGCCAGACTCACTCTTTGTCGTTGACCAAGACTTAAATTAACACCTTTATCGCCAATTTCTGTGTCATCTTTATTGCTCAATAAAGTCAAATCTTTATTTAACGCACAACAATGTAGAACCTCTTGATATTTTTTTGAATCAAAATCTTCCCCAAAAAGAATATTTTCCTTTAAGGTGGCATTCAACAACCAAGCGTCGTGTGGTACATAAGAGATTGAGCCAAGTACCTTGCGAACGCCATTTTCTTTCTTAATTTGACCTTGAATGGCTGCTAATATTGAAGATTTGCCAGCTCCTACATCACCAACTATAGCAATGACTTCTCCTTTTCTCACTTTCATACTCAAAAATTTGAGAACTGGTTCAGACGTTCCTTCGTAATAGAAGTCAGCGTCATCAATATATATTCTTAAGTCGGGATCGCCATTTATTGGACCCGCTTCTTGATTAAAAGGTTCAATTTCGTTTTGCAACAAAAAAACATTTATTTTATGAATTGATTCCCGTGAACCTAAATAAATTAATTTAATAATTATTTTGTAATTCTATTTAATAATAATAATAATAAGAATAATTTGAGTTTACCTAGAGTAGTCTTGACAGCAATTGGAAGCATAAATAAAGGATATCTATTATGATTGTTATTATCGATTTTACTCAATTAATAACGATAGTTTTTACCAATAATTTGTTTTATTTTATTACCCACCTAACAGTGTAAAATAATGCCAAAACTGTAAAAAGAGTATGGGCATCCAACTCTGTATCATCATCATTTATTAAAAGTCTTACACATAAACATCCCAACATTGCTAAAATAGGAGCACCAAACAGTACACAGTATGTCCATACTTTAACAACAATCCCATTTAAAATATGATCCCATTCTTGTCTTCTTACACGACTAACACGATCACGAAAATATAACTCCCATGCGTAAAATTTGATCAATTTTATTGCTGTTAAAATTTCAGACATTAAATGTATACGAGATGATGTGCTTCTTGTTATTGAGATGGATATACTAGAAGTAAGTCTTCCGAGTTTATATTGGATAGGAAACAAAATGAGCAGTATTATGAGTGCTAAATTAATTCAAATGATTAAATCAGAAAAAATAAGTTTATATATTAAAAACGTGATTAATCATTAACAATAACCATTGTCATTGTAATTATTATTATCATCGTTGTTATTCTTCTTCTTACCCGGTAAGGCAGCAATGCCAAGTTGAATCCATGCTAAAATAATCATTACTATAAAAAAAAATAATTAATAGATGCATATTTAAAATTTTTATCGAAGTAATGGATTTTTTAGTAAAAATTTACCGGTTATTTCCAATGCAGAACTCCAAATAAAATGAAGATTTACACAAGCCTCAGCAATCCTTAAAGTGTAAATTTAACCAAATGGTCCAAAAAAAAAGATAATAATCGCAAGGAAAATTAATTTAATTGTTGAGAAAGAGTCTATTATAATTAAATCAATTTAATACTTACCTATTACAATCGTTAGATACCAAATTGACTAGAAAAATATTATTAAATATTAATATATATATATTTTTTAATAAATCAAATAGTAGAACATCAAATAGAAATTACCCACCAATATCGCCAATTCTACCACGAACAGTACTAAGCTTTAATGCTTTACGGTAAATCAATACCATCAATGCAGCACGAACCTAAATCACAAATAATTTAACAAAAATTTCATTGTAACTAAACTACATCAAATGAAAATTAAAGTCACAAATGATACTATCTAGAATCATTTGTATACATTATATTGACCTGTACGCCTATCCTTGTAGATTCAGCAATCAATTGGTGAACAAATATGCTGCTAAATAACGCACAGAGAAACATTCCAACCGCATACACATGCGCAGTTCCTTGACCACTACCATCTTTCTCTTGTTCAATATACTTGATCAATTCATTAAGCAAATAGTATGAACCAATAAATAAAAACGATGCTGCAAATAATTTGTATATGCCCAAAAATGCATAGGAAATTCCAAATGTTTTGATCAGGGTTCGAAGAATTGATGGTTTACTAAAATGAGATTAATTAAATGAAATATTACAATTAAGATATGATAAGATAATAAATAGATAAATGATTTGTAATCATATAAAATTTTTTTATTTATTATCTTTATTCATTGGCATTCATAAATTAAACATCACAATCTTAAAAAAAAAAAATGAATGTTTCCTTTTAATAAAAAATTTTTTTACCTATCATTTTTACATTCATTACATTGTGCATTCCAATTTTCTTCTATCTTATCACCTAAAATTTTTGCTTTTTCGGAATTTTGCAAAAATAAGTTATCTCTCCTTAAGTTATGTTTTCTTGATATTTTTAATACATGAAATATCCAAAGAAACAGCCATGATGAAAGGAAATTGGCTCTGTTGCTGCCATAAATTGTCACATTAAGTCGGGAAGCAGATTTACTTCCATCTACAGACGGCATTGATGACTTTTCTGAAAGGGTCAAAAATGTCAAATAAAAATAGATCTTAATATTTTCCGAAAAAATATAATATTAATATATAAATATTTTTCACAAAATGATTTTTCAAAAGAATGCTTGTGTGACTTTACATTTAATTACTTCCAAACCTGTTAACATTATTACATGCATAATTTCCAGATATAGGATAAGCATTGTTTTATTGATCATGGTTACAAAATACTTACAATAATAATACTAAGGGATTTTTTAAAGCTTAAATGGCCGACGTTGTACATGTCATGTGATAATAAAAAACTAACAACAAAAGGCACATATCTCAATGATTTGTTAACGATATTAGGACCAGTGCAATAGTTCCTGAATATTTTGTTCCTGACTTGGTAATTTTTTTGTATATATTTAATTGAGAATAGTAGATTCATATTGATGGTTGACATCTACTGAAAAATTTTATAATTTATCCCAAGTTAATGGTCGCTCGTGATATTTCATAGTGATAAAAATTTATTTCACAGGTGCAGATCATTATTTTTAAAATATTAATTATATATACAAAGAATTGCTGCTAGCTATATACAGTACTTGAATATAGGAAATTTCTTTTAGAAAATTCGGGCGTAGCATTTGATAGTATTTGTTATCATTATTACTTCAAGAATTGAAGATCTTGATGGTTCTACTGCACGATTTAAAAGTGTTCATAGCAGCAAGATGATGTGATTGTTGTTTACCAGAGCTTTTTGACGATAAAAGTTTGTGTAGAGGACATTGAAGTATCTTGAGAAATAAAATCAACCATTCTGATTTAAGTAAAGTAGATGTTGAAGCCTCTGTAACTTTTTAGGAAAGGAGAAGAGCACTTGCACTAGTAAAAATAGGTTGAGATAAAAGAAATAAATGGGGGAAAAAATAAATTTTTTATTGTATAAAAAATAAATATACAATAAAATAAAATTTTTCAAATAACTTTTAATCATAATCACATTAGTCTCCGTAGGATAAATTAGTTACAGTCGGCGTTCGATATAAGGAAGAATTGACTTTTGGCAAAAAACTTCATTTATATCATTCATTATTATATGGAGAATTTATATTAAAGATCATTATATCGAGTTGGATTTATATATATATAATAATAACAACATTTCACCGACTGTATAACAGCCAGTGATCATTCCAAATTTGGAACCCCATTGTAGATCAATTCATATGAAATGCTTTTTTATAATAATTGTAGTGAAAATTTGTTAATTTCCTCAAAGTATACCTACCTTTTCTAAATTAAAGATATTTATGTACCAGAAATTCAAATTTGTTGGATTTTTTTACTTTCTTTTTTGACCTATATATAGAAGATAACGGCTAAAACATCAAGACCGTCTGTTGGTATTTCACCTTGCTTATTTGCTGCACTCATTGCACCAAGAGATACTCGAAATATTCAGAGAGTCAGTTGAAACAATTTTTTTAAAAAAACATATGTAGAAATATTCATTGATTGGATAATCGTCGAATAATAATATCTCCATAATAATAAGATTTATTAATCCTTGTGGGAAATATTTTATCTCTGTTTATAATTAGAAGGCAAAAAATTTTTAACCGGTTAACTTTTATTAATCGGTTAATTTAATCACATGAAAATCCAAATATAATAGTATACCCAATTCTATTTTTCCTTAATAGCCCTTGTAATGATGATGATAATAATAATAGTAATTTAAAAAACTTTTTCTCTACTATCAAATAGTCATAGTATGGTTTCTGTTCGAATAAGAATTATTTGATTCGTTATAAATTTGAGCATTCGAATTACATTTAATGTTTACTCGAATATAACAAATAATTCGAATAATAATAAATGAATAATGAACAAAACGAACAATAGAATAAAACGAATAATTCGAGTAAACCGAATTATTAATATTAAAATTAAGTTGTATTACGAATAGAAACTATAGTCATAAATTACTCCCAAAAGAAAAAAAGTAAAGATTGATTTTTTATTTATTTCTATATGTATTCTAGTTGGATGAACAACAATAACAATTTGTAACGCCAAGGTTGATGAGTTAAACGGTTAACGGTGTCAACCTCTATCTTTAAGTGTGAATAATAAAATAAAAATGATCTAAAGACGTTTTTTGTGCATATACTGGTAATACGGATAATCGGATATTTATTATTAAGAAAATATTTATAATCAGTGGGTAAGACTACCAACCAAACCGTATTATATGAGCATGAGATAAAATAAAGGATCACGTAAAACCATTTATTAAGTGTAAGACGTAAGAAAATTCAAATTTATCTTCTTAATCTTTCATATATATTCATTAATTAACAACTCTATTTATTTTAAGAGTTTCCAATAATTCATTGTCTTTTCATATATTAACTCTATTTATTATAGTTTTGATAACATCAGAGCCTGCTGTTTATTACTGTATGAAATTTATAATAATTATATGTACAATGTGTTACGAAAATAATTGGACCTGTGAATTTATTTTTCTAAGCCACATCAAAACTATTATATACACGTAAAAATTTTATTATGTAAGTGATATTTTTTATGTATAATTATTGTGATTTTGTGTTAGAGCAATTGTTAAAAAATTCCATGTTAAAATTTCATAGACAAAATTTTAAAGTTGTTTAAAAAAGAAGACCTTACAAACAATTTGCAATATAAAGTAATCAATTAATTATTAATATCTTATGTTATGAATTGGAATATTTATAGTGTTTGTACTCGTGAGTGATCTGCATGAGTACATCCGGTTTACCATAAGTATCCGACTACCCAAGTCGTGTAACGTCAAATGAAAAGCGTCCTTACTAAAAAAGTAACGTTTTCTTAAATAAAACCGTTTTTTGATATCAAAATCTCTAAATTACAAAAGCTTCGAAAGGTTCGGTATGGTATTAATGGAAACATTTAGCAAATAGTCCAAAAAAGCAAATTTTCAATCGGAATCTTTACATATAATAAAGGTCAAATTCTTCATTGTAATGTATATTATTTCATCAATAAAAATGTGCTCAACATAACAGATTACATATATCCACAATATGGTGTTGGCATAAATTAGTTCGTAAAAAGGGTTAAAAAGTATCCGACCACCTTATAATTTTATTATATAAAACACTTAATAAAGTTGGCAAAATGCAAATTTTAAGCTTTACGTTTTGTTGTCTATATTTGATCAAATTTTCTCAAATTTTAACCATATATAATTCAAGATATTTTAAGCGGACTTACTTAATGACGTAATCGATGATTCAACGGAGTTTTAAAGGTTTTTACTAAGCTCAAAGTTTTCATAAAAATCACGGAATTTTTTGTCTAATTTAAAATTTTCATTCTAAATTCATTAATAATGTAAACTCGACGAGACTTTAAGTTTATATGCAAATTAACTTTTAATAAAACTTTGAACTGCATAAGGCGTAACATTTCCGATTATTAAATGATCATCAGGTGGTCGGATATTTATGGTAGGGGAGTGTATTTGCATAATATTATTAAGATTTTTGAAATAACATTATTCTGATGGATTAATAAAGCTCTTCATTATGTTTTTAATCCAGAGGTTGAAACCAGTTAATAACTGATTAAGTATATAAAACAAATTTTTTAAAAATATTTTATTTATGTAATTATGTTATTTGATAAAATTTCTTTTAAATATGAAAAATTCTTATGCCTGCTCATTATGAATCAACTGTTATATCATAATAATAATAATAATAATAATAATAATAATAAAGTTAACAGCACTAAAGCAAATTATGATGACAATAAATTATAATCACAAAGATTTCAATAGGTAGTAAATCAATTTAGTCATGTTTCACTTTTACTCACCATTCTCTTGCATTTAGCCGATAATGTGAATGTGGCTTCATTTCACCTACTGAAACAAAGATTTATAATTAAAATGGGATGTTTTCTTATTTTAACTAGTGTTGGTTTTCAAAACTAGAGAATTGCAAAAGTCAAAAGGTTTCACCATAAGTCGGGTAGAAATATAAACTAATAGATTATGTTTCTGCTTAGCTAGACTATGTATCTACTAGGATTAGACTATGTATCTACTTACATACAATGGTGGTGAATTTTTGTCATAAGGCCACATGCGAACTATCATCAGGATAACGACGTGGACAATTCTGAATTTTTGGCCACATTCGAACGTTCATATATCTCGTGCCAATTGTGAGAGCTATGCCAGAACTGGATGCAAAGCGTCCTAGCTTGCAAATGCGTAATGTTGTAACTTTTCATAAAATAGACTATTTCATAACCAAATTGAGCATTGATCGAGTAGTCTAATAAATTGATACAAAAATGTATAAATAGAACCTCTATCCCCACCTCTTGACCAAAAAAACTAATTCGTAAAAAATACGAATCTCCCATACCACTATAAATAATACCACATTTCCTAGGCGAACTGCCAATTTTTTCGATTGCGAGGATGAGGCAATGGAGCACCAAATTGGCAATCTGTATTTGGCTTTGTACGTTGTATTTGAATGCCGGGTTGAGGCACACAGTGCTGAAATAGTACTCATTATCTGGTTTTGCGTGATGCATTCGAATACAGATTGAGGATGAGGTACAAAATGCCAAAGTGTTATCTTCACTTGGTAGTAACCCAAAGCATAATTTTTATTATATATTTAATAATTATACCTTGGGTTACTACCATGAGGACAATATGTTTTGGAGCTCTGGAAGCCCTTCTTGTATGCTTTGTTATACTGTTACACTAAAATACTTGGGTTACTTTGAATTACTACTGAAAAAACACTTTGGGTTACTACTGAAAAAATACTTTGGATTACTACCAATTTTTATTTTGGTCAAAATCAGGCAACACAAAAACTCCCTATGTACGTCCAGGTATTGAGTTATTATTTTTGGAATTGAATTTTTTTTTTATACTTTGGGTTACTACTGAATCGAAAAATTGATAAAAAAGTGAAACCAGGATTATATGTGGATTGAGTAGCTAAAAATTTATTACCTATTTGAATCTAAAAAGTTTTGATTTAAATATTATTATTATATCTTCATTATTAAGATACTTTTCAAGTAAATAGGCCATGTCGAAAACACTGGATTTCATTCATTATTCTACAATGAACTTCAAATCTCTGTCTCGTCGAAAAGTATATTAAGTTCATAATCTATAGGATTAATTGTTTCCTCTATTTCATATTCTGACCAGGGATACAACCACCCACTCTTATTAACATGATAAATACGATTTAATACATCGCCTCTTTCTCTTTTTCTGATAATTTATTTCGTAACATGCATCTTTTTACTTCTACTAGTTCATAGAAGAATTCATTACATTTCCCACATCCGGAAAATATAAAAAAATTTTACACGTGTCAATTGTAAGTTTAATAATAAAAAAGTGTAAAACTTACGTTGGCACTGTAAGATTTACACAATATTACGTCGGCATCGTAAGATTTATGCAAGTTTACGCTAAATTAATTTCCTGGTGCATCTAAAAATCTCATTTTGTTGTTGTGTTTTTTATAGTCATCAGTACCCATGTAGTCGCTAAATCACTTACCCTCTTCTTCCTGATGTTTAAGTTGTATCTCCATATATCTTACTGATACTGTTCTCCAATATTGATTTTTAAACTTTTTACGCCTCATATGCAATTCAAGTTTCGCTTTCTTATTCCAAGTATGATTAATGCATAAAGCTATACTAAGACCAACCAATGAGAGTTTAGAACGATTATTGCAATTGTATCTGGAAGCAGAAGTGGATTATGCGAATACATTTTTATTATGAATTTATTGAAACTTGCGGATTTTTTAATTGATTTTTTAATCCTGGTTTTGCTTTTTTTATCCAAAAAATTACAGATTCGAAAAAATTTCTCACTTTGACGTATTACCTTTGGATATCATGTGTTGAGTCTAATCGGTCGCGTTTACTTCATCGAAAGTTTGTTTCATCGAAAGTTCATTTCATTGAATGTTCATTTCATCGAAAATTATTTCATCCTCGAGTTAGAGACCGAACGAGTTAGATGTGAGGAGTGTGGGAAGTTAGTTAAGAAATTAGGTGAGAAAAGCGGAGTGTGTGGGAAGTGTAAGGAGAAATTTGTTTAATGAAGCTTTTTTTTTTGTGACGAAATAATTTTCAACGAAATGAACATTCGATAAAACAAACTTTCGACGAAATGGGTGTTGGCGAAATGACTGTCGACGAAATGATTGTCGACGAAATGATTTGTCGACGAAATGAATCACACCCGATAAAGCCTTTTTTTCCTTACTATAGATAGTTTTTCCGATAAGAAAAAATACAAATGGGACTGAAAAAGGATATGAATGAGGAGAGTTTATTGTTCTTTATAGGTAATAATATCAAAATTCATATGTTACAGAACTTGATCCGAGATCGCCAAAATTTGTCTTATTTTCATTCTACAAAAGCAATCGTCAGACTGAAAGGTTTAATTTTCCCCATAAATGAAGAAATTTACTTATGTTTGGAGTTTGCGACTTTAGTAGACTTGCTTTACGAAGAAAGGATCTGGAACATGGTTGAGGTAACATGATTTTTCTTTTATTAGTAGGTTCTCGGGTTTAGCGAATGAAATAATATAAATAAACCAGATTTGTGAGGTGTCATTTCTTATCTTCCCACGACTTCTATAAGTTCATTACACATTACTTGCGATAAGGGCTTTATCCATGAAAAACGAATTTTTATTCATAGAACTTTGTATTTGGGAAACGCAAAATGACCAATCTTATTAATCTCAAGTGTCGTTTTCCAGATGGTAATTGTTCTAATATTGTAATATTTAAGTAAGATAAGATTAAATATGTGATGAATGTCTGTTGAAAAATCAATGTTACTGTTGTATGTGAAATTGAAATATTATGGAATGTGGTGAAATTCTGATTGGCTAATTTGAATTTCACATGTAAATTTGAATTCCACATATGTGAATTGCGAATTCACATAAGTTCATTTTCATGTACAACATTACTAAGAACTTTCTATTAATTTCATATATATGTAATTATTCCTACAAAATCGGCAGCTGAGTTTTCTGAACATTTCAATGCAACTATGAATCCAGATCAAGTTCTCAGAATAATTATGTTTTATTTCAATTAGCATCATGTAATGGCGATTTATATTTGTAGTGTATAACTGTGATAAGATTGTAAAATAAAACAAGGCCATGATTGATGTCACTAGATCATATGATGCCATGTTATCATGACTTTATTGATTATTATAAATTCAATTATTATAAATTTTAAATTTACAAAATCAACATTAATGATTTAAGAAATTTTTGTTTAAAATTATTCATTATTCAATGAATTATGTATAGATCAGGGTTGGTAAATGTGTGGTCCATTGATGGTCTATTGGTGGTCTATTGGGTCCATTAGTGTAACACTTTAACCATATTTAGTATTTATTAATGGCAATGGACCAGTCCAAAATCTATCTATTCTCAATGGACCAGTCAATTTGCCAACTAGTGTTCCGAACGGGTCAGGTCGGGTCGGGTACCCAGGTCAGATATAAAAAATTTCTCAAGTATCAATTAATATATGTAATTTATTTGCTCATTTGAATTTTAAAAAAAAAATACAATGTGTAAAATAAGTGGATTTTTAAAAAAGAAAAAAAATTAAAAAATTGATTTACTTAGTAATATTATTATCTCTAATCCAATTTTTCTGGCACATGCATGCTTGAATTATTTCTTTCTCCAAACGACAATGTTTTTTTGTGATTAGGTCACCACCACCTGAAAAGATTCTTTCAACAGATACACTTCTACCTTACATTAAATAATATACATATACTTATTTATTTTTACAAATTAAATAAAAGATATTAAAAAAAGATATCTTACCTGGAATTGCAAGATAGTCACGTGCCATCTTGGAAAGATTTGGAAAGGTGGCTTCATGAACCTATCATATTTAATGAAAATAATAATTAATGTTGAAAAATAAATATATCAGATATTAATTAATTGTTACCTTCCACCATTGTAGTGGATCTGTTTGAGGTTTTACTGGAGCTTTTCCAAGATACTCCTCTAATTCATCTTCTTTTTGATTATTATTATAATTGATACCAAGTGAAAATTTAAAAAAAATATTTTCATTATTATTTGTAGTGGCAGCAACATTAGTGGCAGTAGCAGTAGCAGCATTATAATAACATTCATTGTATTTATCAGCTAGTGTTTTTTGGCCATATCAATATTAATATTAATAAAATAATTAATAATAAGACAAGGGTTACATATTGCATATGGCACATGATACGGCATAAAACAAGGGTCATGTCATTCGGCATATTGGGCCCATGTCAACCCGTGTGACCCGTATGACCCGTATGACCCGCGGGTCAAATCAAATTCATGACCCGACCCGAAATATGGTCAACCCGACCCGTTCGGAACTCTATTGCCAACCCTGGTATAGATTAAAAATATTATTAAGCTATGGAGTTGGGAAAGATGAGAAATCTTGAATAGTTAATGACAGATAATCGTGCATATGTTGAATTGATGGTCCTTGACATAGTCTATTTATAACCTGATTTATATCAGCCATTTATTTTTACTGTTTCCATAAAACCTTCCAAATATTTTGAATAAAATGTAAAACAGAAATTCTGTCTACATGTGATTTATAGGGTATTGGAATATTAAATAGTTCTTGAACATGGCATAATGGGGAACAGGCTGGTCCATGATACAAATATGAATTTTGGTTTCTATTTAAAAAAAAAGGAAAATGAATATCTCCTAAATGCATTAGTTAATTTAGATAAAAAAGGAAGACACTATACCATAAACTTGCACTAGAAATAGCTCAACAGCACATAACTGTTCATACAAGGATTCATAATCTAACAAAAAGTGGAGATTATTGTTAATGAGTTGAACTCCCATTTTCTGTTCGGAATCATACCCAGTTGGAACAGCTTGTATAAATCGGATTTAAACTTTTTCAGGTCATAAATAGGGTTTTTATTCATGAATATCATTAAGGGGTTACACACTATTAAAACAGCAAAAAATCCCTTAAAAACATGAGTTGATCACTTGATTTTAATAGTGTGTGATAGGGATGGGGGAGTTTTACTAAAAGCGGTTTGAAAGCGGTTTGGTTTGGTTTGGTTTGTGAAAGCGGTTTGAGTGGTTTGAATCAGTTACACAATGATAAAAAAAGTGACACAAATATTTAATTAAAAAATATTATATAGAATACAAATAATTATGAAATATTAATATTAATATATTCTATTTGTAGTTGATTAAATGTAGCATTAGTGTTAGAGACTGGAGGATTCAAGCAAGAGAATACCCATGTGCACTTAAGCCATTAAATAAACGCATTATTTTATTTATTATTATTATTATTTATTGTTTATTGTTTATTATTATTATTATTATTACTATTATTGAAAAAAGAAATAAAATATATTTTGTATCCTAATTTCCTATTTTATTAATAATCCAGCTCTTCAAACATAAGCATGCTCTTGCAGTCTCCAGCAACAAACGATTTCGAGTTTTACTTATAGTATTTCCAGCAATTGAGAATGCCTCTTCTGACGGAACACTAGTTGCTTGAATGGTGAGATAATCTCGTGCCATATTACTTAAAACTGGATATTCTTTTGCATGTGCCTGCCACCATAATAGAGGCTCTGTTTCATCATCTATTGGTAATGCCAGATAGCGATCTAACTCTGATACTGAATGTGTTGGAGCAATCTGTGGTGTAGTTTGATTACATCGAAGTTGAGTGAAAAATTGATGAGTTGTATTTGTGGTGGTGGATGATGATAGTCTTCTTCCAGGAGATTGTGTGTTAGGAGAGTGCCTCTGGTATGTTTCAAATTTTGTTCGAATGTGTCCACAAGCCATTTGATGGTTTTCTTGTGAAAAATTCGTGAGCTTAGTTCGAGGATCTAAGATTGCTGAAATGATTGAAGAACGATCCATAATTTGCCAATACTTTTCAATTTTTTCAAGTATTGAAGAAGCCATTTCATCCTGTGTGAAACCTTCCACTCTTATTTGATCATTTAAATACACCTGGATACCTTCAAAGACTAAACAAACATCACCCATTGTTGGATATGATGATGCTGAAAGGTGCTTTGTAGCTTCTTCTAAGGGTTCAAGAAGTAACATAGTATCCTATAAATATGATGAAGATATCAGGTATTAATTATTAATGTTGCCTGTTTTTGTGAAGTTTTTTTTTTTTAAAAAAAAATTATTAACACTAATATTTACCCTAATTATAATCCAATCATTTTCATTAGGATAAAGATTTTTGATGTTGTTATTATCTGCAGCAAGTAAAACCAGTGCTGGTTCAAGTTGCTCCAAACGTTTTAACATATAGTATGTAGAGTTCCAACGGGTCTCCACATCCAAAACAGGTTTATAGTTATAGATCTCTTTTAAATTACAAAAACTGCGAAGTTGATCACTGAGGAGAGTTGAAGTTTTAATTTTTCCCATTAATTCACTTACTTTATTAATTGAATTATTAACTAGCTCTAATCCTTGCTTTGCATTCAAGTTTAGAACATGTGCTGCACAACGATAATGTGAGAATGTCATTGAAGAAAGTTGACTATCAAGGGATTCGGCAAGTCTTCTTCCACACACAATCATTGCAGATTCATTATCTGTTGTTAGTGCAATGATTTTACCAGAAATGTTAAGTTCATCTAAAACACGTTTAATTTCGCCAGCAATATTTTCACCAGTATGTCTAGTGGTAAAAGGGATGATATCAAGGAGAAAGTTGCTGAGTTTCCAATTTGAATCTATATAATGTATTGTTATTCCTAAAAAGGCATCTCTATTCATGGAAGTCCACATGTCAGCCGTCAATGAATATTGACCCTCAATTTGATAAAGCTCATTAGCAATTTTTGTTCTTCGACTATTGAATCCACCAATTATAAGATCCTTTACTTGGTGTCGCTCAGGCATAGTATAACGAGGACAGAAGTGACTAACAAATGCTCTAAAATAAGTGTTGTCAACAGTGGTAAAAGGCTGAAGATCACAAATTAACCACTGAACAAGATATTTAGTATGTTCCATTTGTTTTTGTTCATCAAAAGGTTCGATTTCAGTAATTGTTCTTTGTTTTTTAACAATCCTAACAGGTATGTCTATTTGATGTTGGTCTTTGAGATGTTTACGAAGTGTTGTAGTACCTGTTGTTAATTTATACTTAATTGAACAATTTTTACAAACATTATAGCGTCGTGCATCAGATGAATTCCTATTGAAATGTTGCCATAAAGGATTTGATGTTGATGATGGCATTGATGAGGTAACAGAGATACTGGAGTCTGTTATTTCCGATTGTGCATCACCAAAAACTTGACTAGTAAAATAATCAAGATTCATCCTATTAAAATTTTCTTGGTGGTAGTAGTCATTAATTTCTTGATTATTAAAAGTTTGTTCATCCATTTCAAAAAAAAAAAAAGGTAACCTAAGTATATTATATAATTATTAATTTTGAAAGAAAAAGCAATATGATTTATAATTATTTTAACAATATTAATGGACAGGTAATTTAATTGTTGTTAAATTAAAAGTTATCTTTATTTTATTCAAATTTAGATTCTTTAAATAATAAAATTACAATTCTTAAAATACAAATATAGATCATGAAAGAAATAAATAAAATTATAATCTCTATATTGTATGGGAGCTTATAGACTTCCCAGAAAGTATTAATCTTAAAGATAACATTCATAAAATACAAATAAATAATCTCTATATTGTATGGGAGCTTATAGACTTCCTGGAAAATATTAATCATAAAGATAACATTCATAAATAAATATAATATAATAATAATAATTAATAATCATTGTACACCATTGCCAACACTCCTAAAAAATATCAATAATTTAAGGACAATAATATTCATAATTCTTTGAAGAAAAACACAAATAATCCCGATTGCCAAATTAGTAATAGTGAATTTAAAAAGACGAATTTCTCTACATTACCAAATATGGTATTAGTATATATTAATTGCCAATTTCGACTAGAATTATTTTACCAATTGATCAAGATCAAGATTGTTACAACAATTATAAAGTTTGTATTTATTATATCAAAAATATTGCTTCAACCACAAGGAAATAGTTGACCTTTTTATATTATTAGAAAAATGACAAAACTACAAAATGGTGAAAAGGCAAGAGTCAATATAGGTTACAATTCTTTTCGATTCTATATTAATATAGCTAAATGACAAAAGGGTCTGATTTTTGATCTTTTATTTCATTAATATTAAACAATTGATCAATGGATTTTATTGGATTTTATGTGACAATTGGTTATTTCCAGTCCATTATTTCTTTATTTTATAGTTTTTTTTCTTTGTTCAATATCTCTATTATAATTTTTGCCAATTTCCTTCTTGATATATTAGTATTAGTAAATAAATATAATCCGGTATTAGTATTTACTATTTGAAAATCTTTGCTTTTTTAGCTTCTTATTCGTCACACCTTAATTATAACAATGTTATTTATCACGTATGTCACACGATAAGATCTTGTGTAATTTTCAAACCGCTTTTTCAAACCAAACCAAACCAAGCTGCCCCATCCCTACAGGTGTGTAAGCATTTTTGTTTGCTTTGAATTTTTTTGCTACAACACTTTGAAAGACTTTATTTGATATTGACTTTTTTTTACTAACAAGAGAACGGGTCTGGGAAATATAAGTTTTTCTTCTTTGTTCTTGCCTAGCAACCTTAATTGCAAATGATTTTTTATATGCATTAAGATTTTCAATTTTTTTTTTTAATTTTTTAATTTCCTTTATCTCAGATTCATTATTCTGATGTTTGTCTTTAGTTATTAGGACCCATTCCATGGCTTTTTTTTTGCAAATAAGGGGACAAAATCTCACCTTGATGTGTACCATCTGGATATCTCATGTTTTCAAACAATTGGGAGCAAGCAATTAATTCTTTTT